TCATAAATATTCCGACTCATAAAACGATGTGACGATGCAGATAAAGATATATGCGCATATGTATAAATATATGCGTGTGCGGACCAGTACACAGGGGGGGTATATACCGGTATACTCGTTTCCACCACGTCATATTTCTGTGATATATCCTTCAGCCAACTTTGAAAGAAATTTCTTTCCATAGAAAAGAAACACGACACCCTTTGTACGACACTCCGTGTAAGTAAAAAGTTGCACTTTGCGTGCGCGGTCGACCTTACTGCAATCTGAAAAATGCAGCGATGAAAAATTTCGGAATTGCCATGCCGAGAAGGCTTCGCTTCTTTGCGCTCCATTGCCTTTTCACATCGTACATTAATAACGACATTACCAGACGGTATTACCAAGCCTTATGACCGCGGATGAGGTAATTAACAAGAATATCAGGTACGGTAGAATGGCTCTTTTAATTACTGGGCGGAATTTATATGGCGAAGACAAAGACGCAGTCGTGTCAATTAAAATGAAGATATCTCTTCATATCTCTTCACAAAGTTTCTTCATTAGCTAAATTTGCAAAAGTATGCAAAGATTAAATTAATTACACGAGAATAAAAATAGTTTAAGTTCTTGTACTTGTAAAAAGAGTATTTAAAATCAGATTTAAGTTAAGATTGCAGAATAAAATTGCAACAGATTTATATTTTAATAGCTATATAAAAGAATATAAAAATTCTTTATAAATTCTTTCCGTTGTAATAAGATTAAAGAGAATTATTTCATAAATCATGCCATTGCTTTTAATAATTCCTGCATTTCTAGGAACTATTCTGCGATTATAATGTCATACATAGCATTAAAAGTATCTTGCAATTTAGATTGCTATTTAAAAGAAATTTTCTAAAAATATAGAAAAAGAGAGATTGAAACTTTGTTTGTTTAAAATCTCAATCGTCACGCGAAGGAGATATGTTGCTAATTTTTTAAAATCTATGAAAGCTAATCAAGACGAAAGTGTAATTAAATTAATTGCTACATAAAGTTCTACACTTTCTTAGGAACGTCTGTATTTTAATTTCACTACAAATGTGCTAATGTAAACGGTTTATTAAAAATGTACACATATTCAATCAATATTTACACACGCATGTGCAAATATAGACAAAGATAAGTATATTTTTTCAAGTGCATCTTAGAAACTCCTATTTTTATGTCTCGTAATTTTTCACTTGTTTTTTTTTTTTTTTTTTTTTGTGAGAACGTGGAATGCATATTCAAATACGGTGGCTCGGTAGGTCGTGAAGACGTTTTTACGGTGCACGAATGAAAACCGAGTCTCGAGAAGAACGCCTCGTCTCTCATTTCGTGGTCACAGTGTTATCGAAGGTCGCGATTTCTCGCTTAAAATGTCACCGTGTGCGTCCAAAGTCCGACGAGTTCGTGAAAACTCGAATCGTATTACGAAACCGTGAGTGGCCGATAACTCGCGCGTTATCACATTCGGTTGCAGGCGTCTTAATGGCGATAATTCTTGTCATCGTAACTCGTATGTTGTTTCTCGTAGTAATAATAAGATGGAGGTGTATCGCATTACAACAATTCGATAATTTATTCTATTTATCGATCGTAAATTTGTGAGATCTTTGACGCCACTCTCGCATCCACAAGATGATAATTAAGACGATAATTAATTCTATATTGTTGTTATAATAATTTGTGATGATTTTACCTATATTACATTTTTCGAATAATAAAAAAAATTAATGAATTTGGAACGAAAGAGAGAAAATATTTGTGCGATTAATACTTATACGAATAATATTTATATTTCCTTATGTCGAAGTCAGAATAGTAGTATTTTTAGGCTGTGTTACAAAATTCACTGCCAGTAACTAAAAATCTACAGTTTGCATAAGATATTATATATTGTTAACACTGGCAGAAAATTTTGGAACACAATCTTAGATGCTAATTTTTTACATAGGGGGAAAGGGTTAAAATACACATTTCGGAGTAATTATTTACGAGGAAGCTACGATCGCGCGGGAAAATATGGTGACGGGGTACCGGAGTGCCGCCGTGTAGTTGCGAATAAATAACGGTGTTTAAACAGAACGACCGTCTCTCGAAAATTATGAGGTCGCCCCGTGGCTGTTGTGGCCCGTGACTCCAGTGGAATCCCGTGTTTTGCGCACGGAAGGGGAGAATGCAACTGCACCGACGATTAGTCGAACGCGTGACGTCAATGGCTTGTCTTTGCGAAAGTCTCGAGAGGAAGGCAGCGAGAACCAAGGAGAGCCATTAAATGATTTTCCATGCACCATTTTCTCGCACGTTCGCTATATATAATTATCTTATCGATAAAGCCAATTACATTTATTTTAAAAATCCTTTTCCGCCTTCTCGGAACAATTATAAAATTATATAGAGACGATGAAAGTGACAAAAGTCTTTTTTAACTTTAAATATCTCCTCGATATGATAATGACTTTGTTGTGTTTACGAGTGTAAAGTGTCGATTTGAACGTTTTTAGAGCTCGAATATTTTCACGGTTGGGAGTCGCGGCGAGTTCCATTCCAGCTTCGCGCGAGGTAAATCTAGGAAGATTCTCCCGAGAGGTGCATCGTTCTTAGATTCCATCAGTATATAGATAAACATTCTCTTTCTCTTCTCGGAGGGCCTTTCGAGAGGCCCCGGGAGAGAATAAGCAGTACGCTTTTGCCGTGCTCGCTCGTATCTCTTTGGAGCTCCCATTCGTGCGCTCGTGTACGCGTGCGTTCACGTGCACGTAGACCGTTCTCGTGTTCGTACGATCAAAGTGGGAGAGGTATTGTGTCTCTACGTTGTCTGAGAAACCGCGCGCGCGTGTGTCTGTGGGCATAATCGTTTATTTCGCGTCGACCTTTGCGGGGCACTACGTCAAAATGTCAGATGCGACCCCGCCTGAGCGCGAGGTAAGATGCACTGGGAACGCTGTAATGGGCTTACAAAGCGTAACAAACTGATGCGAGGTCAAGCACACGACGGGCAATAAACACACGTAGAGATAAATGGGCCCTTAAGGTGCACCACACCGGGCCCGCCGGGAGGCGGGCGTTTCGTCTCTCGACGCGTATCTTTGACGTTTTGTTTGCCGCGAGACGAGCGCCGATGATCTTCGGAGCGCGATACCCGAAACACCCTGGTTTCCATCCCGCCAGTTTTTAGAAATCAATCTAGATTTTCGCGCGATCCCATTCGTCATTTTTTTTTCTTTTCCTGATAATAATCGCTCTATTCAGAGGTGTATATTTCTAGATACATTTTAAATATTTCTTTGTACGTTAACTTGTACATTAACATTACGATGTTTTTACACCGCGACGGTGTATTTCTTTTTCGTATTGACTTTCTCTTTATGAGAATTTATGGGAATATTCTTTAGTATTCATAATTCATTTGGCTCTTATAAGCTTCGTCGTATTTCTCCGTTCATGTTTTTCGTTGTAACATAAGTACAGCTGAACGTAATCAGTTAAAGATCATTTTTTAGTTTGATCTTCTCTGTTAATGCTGGAGGGACGAACATCCACATATATATACATCTAGACATATATGTGTACGTATACTCATACATACATCTATGCACACATATGAACAAATTTTTATATACACTTTTCATCGTATTAGGTGTCTGAATCTAATTCTAAGAATGTTCCGTCAAATAATCAAGCGGTCTAATGATCCTAGTTTTATAAGTATAGGCTGTAAACCTCTTTATACAAAACAAATATTGAAATATTGAATTGGCAGTTCTGGACGTCATGTTAAAATAAATGAAAAAGATCTAAATTAAAATCATTTTTCTTCTTCTTCACGCACATAGCAGACACACATATATTTTAAAGCATATATAATTAATTGTGGAAAAGGATATCCAACTCTAAAAAAATAATTACGAAAAAAAAATATTTCGCGTTCGATACGAGACGAGTTCAGCGTCCCCTTAATCTTTATGATTTTTCTTGTTAAGACTCGAAACAGTCACATGTTCCGGGCTGCAGACAGACGGTGCGAGTACGATCGCCATGAGCGACTCGCGGAGCGTAACAAACTGACGCGGAGTCAAACGCACGACGGGCAATAAACACGCTGAAAGATGAACGGGCGATCGGGTCCAGCCCGGGGCCCGGTCTTGGGGAAAGTGTTTCATCTGCGGATATACCGAGGCGCGGCATACCGTGGAACGGTCGGTTTTCGCTTTCGCGCGGATCGATATGAGGAATACAACGAACGTTATCGTCCGGACTACAAAAGGCGGCCGAGTTTATTGCCCCCTCCTCTCCCCCCCCCCTCCCCCTCGTACGTTTCTACGCGTACGCCCGCGTTCACTTTACGATCCAGCCGCGAATAGTTATCGAAGCTCACCTTACTCGTTACCGTCACGCGTTATCTTCCATGGGAATTATTTCTGCCGCGGAACGCTTGGAAACGGTATTGCGAAACCCGACGCCGTTATTATCTTCGAGGGGCACACGAGAGATTCTTTTGCAGAATTTCGAGGTTCACGATAACGATCGCGGCGGATAATCCGGAGTAAATGTTACGTGTGATTAATATAATGCATCTCGCGAGGCAGTCACAATGTAGAATGATTGAATAAGGTCTGTTCCTTCGGAGGAACAGATCTCCGTTTTCTTTCTCTCTATGACGCGGCGGCTCTTTCTCGCGTTATACAACGTTATCACGGCCGGTTCCTCCATTATGCGTCCACCGTAGATCCACCACCACAAAACCACAATCGTGTTCTAATTGCGAGCATTTAGCCACTTACGATCGGAGTGCCTCTCGTGGATACTCTCTCGGATCGATCTAGCCTTGGCCGCGACGGCCGGCGAGAAACGTCAGGCGGCGGGCAGGCGTCTTAGCGCGCCGCTTTCTCCTCTCTCGCGTCATTCTTTTTTTCTCCTTTTTTTCTTTTCGCAAGCTAATCGTGCCGAATGACGGTATGTACGATCTACGATCTCCGATTCTTTTTCAGATGCCGCAGACGGTGCCCACCGCGGCCGGCTACTCGCCGTCGTTCGACTACAGCACTTTTCAGTTCGATCTGTCCCTCCTGCCGGACGATTACAGCCCGGCCGGCGGCCAGGCCTGCCTGAAGAGCTCGCAGATCAAGCAGGAAGCACGATCGCCGCGCCCGGGATCGCCCACGATTTACCAGAGCCCGCCGTATCCAAATGGCGAGTTGCCGTTGTCGCCTAACTACTCGCACGAGGGATCCTCGCCGGGATACCCAACGAGCCCTTATTACGTGCCCAGAAGTCCTCAGAGCGCCCAGTTTTATCCCACCAGCCCAGAACCGTCGGCTAAGCAGCCGGTCAAGAGGGAGAAGAGTCTCGATCTTTTGGCTATCCTTCAGGAATCCAGGTAGACATTGCGATTTGTCTCATATAATCATGCGTCCACTTTAGATTTACTTTAGAATTTGTATAAATGCCTTAAAAAAAATTTGTTGTCACAATTTTTTCTTAATGGAAATATCTGAAGAAAGAGCATTTTTTTCTCATTATGATTCAGGATTTCGTTGGGATTATATCTCTAATTCGTATAATGCGTCTGAGATCTTTTGATTATCCTTCAGGAATCTAAGTAGACATTGTGATGCCTGTAAAAACGTTTTTTTTTTTTTTCATTATAATTCAGGATTTCTTTGGGATTATCTGTAATCTGTAATCTGTAATGTGATGGGTCCGAGATTAAAACTCGCATTTGCACTTTGCTTCCAGGTGTTCATTATCACGTCCAGCTATTCTCTTCGTAATTTTTTAACGGTAATGGATCGCGCGTTTTTTTTGTATGATTACAGACTCTTAGCCGAGAGTCTGGGTTATCGTGAAGACTCAACCGACTGCACGGTACCCTGCACCCCTCCTCGAAGTGAGGAGGATATCTACAATAGTCTGGACGCGGACTTCCTGCCAAAGAAGGAGGACACGGACATGCAAGGACATCCGTTGCTCAAAGAGATTCTCTTTAAGGAGGAGCCACGATCTGTTTCTAGCAGCAACGGTTCGTCACCGTCCTCCTTGTCCTCCTCTTCATCTTCACCCAGTCCTTCCAGCGAGTTCGAGGGTGGTTCGGCATTGCACGAACTGCTCTTTAAGGGTACCGCTCTTCGCAAGGACCTGCCGGAGATTTCCAAGACGAGTCAGCCCAAGGTGGAACGAGGTGGAGGCTCGCAGGAGGAGCTGGCGAATCCTCTGCAAAAAGAGGAGGAACTCTTCAAGGACGGCCAGAAGAGCGATCATCAGTTGCTGCGAGAGGTGCTGAGAGACACCAGCTTTCAGAGGAAGTACAATCTCAGACCCGTTGATCTCGGCGGCGTCGGCACCGGCTTCGTCGAGGACATGGAAGCCGGGGAATGCGTAGGCGACCTCGCCCGTGAACAGCTCGAGCCGGTCCTCAGTTTGGCTATTCAGCAACTGCAGAAGGACTTTGACAATACCTGCGTGGCGCTCGGCATTCACCCAGGCAAGTTTATTCTTTCTATCAAAGTCCTGTAAAAGTTTAGTCACTACTTTACAAGATAATTTTCCGGTATTTTTTACATTTTGCAGCATGTCGCATATTTTAATTATTCTAATTAATTAATTAATTAATTAATTAATTAAATTATCCTAATTTTTCTTTTTTCATAAAGAGTAATTTTGAGAACTTACGTGCGGAATTGTTTTGTACGCGTTGATCGAAAAATAAAAATTATGCGTATTCATTATAATTATAAATGTTAGATAATGAAATAAAGAGCTGAATTAATAAAAGATGTAATGTAAAACCATACATTTTACGATTATCGATACTATCAAGCTAAAGAGTAATGCGAATAATGGAGAGTAAGCGCGTATATCCTTATATAAGCACGCCATTTCTATAATAGTCGCCGTGACAATGGCTGCAATCACGTGCGCGTTAATTATTATCATTATCAACCTTACGATAATTGTCGAGTAAGATTTATTCGCGTGTTTCTTAAGGTTTTATCGTCATTACATCTTCTACTACTAAGACTCGCCTCGACAATGTAACTCGTCGTGCAAGATTTATCCATTCGTGATTCCTAACCGTTTTATCTGCCACATGGCAGATAGTAGCGCTTATCTATCGTCATTCCGTAACTCACGAAAGTACTAAAATCTAGTCGGGCAGTTATTTCTTTAATCCGTCTCACTAAAACTACTTATAGCGTGGTTATAGTTCTGATGCAGCGCTGAGCTTCGTCTCGGTATCTCACTCGTCTATCTGTAAACTCTCTCTTCGTAATCAGATACTGTGGAAATTCACTCCGTACGACTCGATGATGTATGGACGACATGATTACGAGCGAGCTATCAGAAATTCCGATGCGCACTTCGATTTTCTCGGTTAAGTATCGGCTAGCCTCGTTTCCGTTAGACCTTCTCATTACCTTGCCGCAGGCGATAGTGTTCGTCGTCGTCGTCGTCGTCGTCGTCGTCGTCGTCGTCGTCGTCGTCGTCGTCGTCGTCGTCGTCGTCGTCGGCATCGTCATGATCGTTGTGAATGCAACTGGTTCGTCTATTAATCAGAGCCATGATGTCACGCTTGAAATAAGTTACCAACCGTGGCGTCGGCATGCTTTCACGCGGTTACGAAATTACGGCGCTGCGCGGTGATGAAAATCCATACGTCATCGACACAATTACGTCTTACAGATTTTTGTTCCTGGTATCCTTCGACTCCTATCGATCGTTTCCACACGATGTTGCGACACATTTTACTTGGAGGCAACATTTTACTCGCGAATATTTGTGTGGTGATGAAATACCACTAGGAATTGCTCTTTCAAGTTTCTATGATTTTTTTGGCGTTTTCCGGTTGGCGACCGCGAAAAATAATGTCAAATTTTTGGTTTTAATTGCAGAACCCAGACGCTGGAGCGCGGCGGATGTGGCTGCCTGGGTGCAGTGGGCGAGACGGCAACTGCAATTGCCCTCGGTACCGATGGAGAGCTTCAACGTGGATGGCGCAACGCTGGCCTCCCTCACAGAGGAAGAATTCTGTCAGAGAGCTCCCCAGGTGAGCACGAATTAATTTTTTACTTTAATCAAAATTGAAAAGGTACAGACAGAAAATTACATAGATGATTACAAAGTATTTCTTCTTTTTGTCGAGACTATTTTCTCCTCGCATAAATTTTATCTTAGACCGCCTCTTTTCTCACAATTTTTCTATTTTTAATATGAAATATCTTGTGTGCGGTAACAAATTTTCTTGTTTAAAAAATTCTAGTAATGTATATAAAGTTCGATTAAACAAAAGAACGATATTTTGTTATTTGTACTTGTTTCTTTAAAACTTCTCGAGATAGAATATCTTGATATTTCTTAAGTACCTTAATGTAGGCGTCGGCATTCAGTCAGGCATCGATTTTAATTCTCAGACGGACGAGAAGTCGCTCGAGATACCATAAAAATGTTTCATGTTAATTTCTTATTCCTTATTCTTACATCTCATCGTGTCCGATTTTTATTTTCTCGCACGCTTCGTGTTAACCGCATGCACTACTCGTAGCTTTGACGTGTACCGTTACGCAATGCGCCTTGCGTCTGCGATGATCGACCTCGTACGAAGATCGTACATACGTTGCTTTCGACGAATCAATTAACCGGATGATTTTCGAAATGCTTTCATTCCACGTTGATGCGAGTTCTCTCTGACGACGGCAAGAAAAAAAAACAACGGTTAAATTGGTGTCGATTTTTTGCATAAAATTCATCATCACTTCGTATCTCAATATGGTCGCTCGGTGACGTAGCATCGATAATAAAGTAATACTTGTTCTTGCGAAAATGCGTCTTCTTATCTGTCTCATTGATATCGTTGAATTTTTTACGAGACTTATCTCTCATCATGTCGCGAAAATTTATAATAGATTCCGCATTATATCACGATAATTGTGTGTAAGAGTCTATTTCGTTCGCAATTTCTATTTTCAATAGTAAAAGCGCCGTTAATATATTTTCGTAAATAATCGCATGTCTAAACGAACAGAAATATTTTACATAAATAGAAAATGAAAAAGTATAACAATTATAATGTGTTTAATTATTATAATTTTTATAACATTTTATAGTATTATTACAATAATATTAAATATTAAATATAAAAATTATAATAATAATATTTCTAATATTTTTTAATAATTCTTGATAATATTATTACAATAATATTATTAAAATATTATAAAAATCATAATATAATAATATATTCAGAGTATTATTACAATAATGTCTATTTATAACGATTGTTTTATATAATTTGCTTTTATTATCTTGAAGTTGATTAAATTACTCATTTACAAATCTATTTCTTGATTTATTAAGCTTATCAGCAAGAATAAAGTATGATATAACAATGGATTTAAATCGATTAAAGTTATAAATTCACGTCTCGGTGAAATTACGGCAATTAACTTTGAGACTTTTGATAACTAGAAAAGCTGCACTTTGTGAGCGAGTTTTATCTTCGTTTTTTATTACAATTTGCGACCGCCAAATAAGCAAGTTTGCGTTTTTTGCGTTTTCGTTCGATGAGGAAAGACCAGAAGACTTAAGAAATGCTCGTTCCCGAGGTCCGGTGAAAGTGAATTTCCTGGTAATCGATGTGCGTTTACGTTCTTTCCGTGTAATCCACACGCGAAGAATAAATGGTGAAATATACGTCACTCAAGATTTCGACATAACATAACGGGATCGGAATTCCCGCGAGAATCATTTGACGTGTGAAAGTTACACGTTTGCATCAGGGATACGATTTCAGGAGAGAAGGCCCTTAAAGCGTGTTCAAGGTTGTCGACGTCTCTCCCAATTTCTTTATATCAGATTAAAATTCACTTACATCGGAACCTGATATCAACGATATTGTCAACGAGAAAGTTTGATCCAAATAAATTCATACATAAATCTCCCGATCTCTCGATTTTAGTTTTTTTATAAATTTATAAATTTATATATATATATATATATATATACATACACATATTATAATCATAATTATAATTATTTAAATATATTTCCATAAATTTAAATTATTTTTTACAAAATAATATTATCATTTATATCGAATATTTTTATGTAATCTTGTCACATTATAAGATTAATTGATCACGAACATGTTTACACTGCGCAAATGCGTAATCTTTTATCTTTCAAATAATATATGATTTAAGAATTGCAAGTGCCATGGTTCGATTAACACATAAAGTAACTTAATTACTTACAAGATAGTATTAATGATCAGTCGTTGATATTTCGATGTAATTATTTGACGAATCAAAGTATGAAATTATCTTATATATCATTATATTATAAATACATTATTATATTCGACGAGAACTAAGAAAATAACAAATTGCTACGGCTTCTCCTTACTGGCTTTCCTGATACTCGTGCAAATAGTCACAATTGTCGCTTATTAAGTAACAAGTTTTATCCATCGGCATCGAGCGGGCTAAAAACCGATTGCACCAATGTTGATTATAGGCTAGTTAACCCTAAACTTGACAAAGCTTAGATAAAGCTAAGAAAGTAAACTTGACATTGCGTCATAAAATGAAATATTATTTTAACGAGATATTTTTTTTTTTAATTGCAATACTTTTCACATGTGTTGCTTGTTGATTATTTTGATCAATATGACGATCGTAGCAAGAAATGAAAACGCATTTTCTTGATTGAGGATACTTTTTGCCGCTGTCTTCGAAGTCGAAGAAAAACAGGAAATATCCAAGTCAGTTAAAAGCCTGTAACATTATCGACGCGTATAAACTCCGAATAATTATGTTATGTTTTTAAATCAAGTAAGCAGGTAAATCTTGGAATCTTCTCGATCGGCGCGTATCTCATTATTCGAAATTACAGGCGCGAGTCTAACGGAAATTAATAGCGAGTAGAGTAGCCGTGTGTATGGCGGGCGGTTATGGCGGGGAAGTAGTCATGCATAATGGATTCCGCTTTGCGTCTAGTAATTGGATAATCGCTACCGAAGTACCGCGGTAGTTCTCGTAGCGTGAAATCATGGTCAGGCTTATGGTCACGTTCTATCTACGATCTCGCGAAGTCCTTTCCTCGGCTGCTCGTTCGTGCTTCGTTAATGCGACGTGCGGTCGAGTTTCCCTCGCGGACTTCATTCATGGTTCAGCCCACAAATGTGCACGCGTACTCCGCATCACTCGCGAGGGTTCATTCAACTAATTTGATTGATTCTACGGTTCAAATTAGCTCAAGTGCGATTTAGAATTTGTACTCACTTGTACTCACTTTTCCTTTTAAGGAAAAGTGCATTAACCGCTTGATTTCTCGAAACCGCGCCAAGTAGAATGGTACAAAAAAAAATCGTACCCTTACAGAAATTTAATTTAATATTGGAAATTATTTATTTTGAACATTAAAAACACTGTTGTTCAGTGCTTTTGTTATGCAAAATGAGTAATTAATCAGTATCTTCTAGTATTAAATTTCTATAAAGATATTGCGAGAAAACGTGTCATAAAGGAGATTTCTTTTAGAATTATTATAAATTTTCTTTAAATTGAACGAGAGAGATAGAATGACGAAAAAAAGTGAAAGAGCAAATAATTGGATTACTTTTAATGAATGGCGTTTAATGCCGACGCGTAAGTCTCCGACGAGTCACGCCACATTCGCTCATCGACTCTCCTCGAGGAAATAATTATGGAATTCTTTGCGGTTTGGCGTCGTATTTTAATGGCGGCGATTATCGATATACGAGAATATTTGTTTCTTGGAACATTGCGAAGTATCCGAGTATGATTGCACCGATGGATGAGACACACAGAATGCTACGCATAGTTACGAAGTAAAGAAATCGAAGGAAATGCCTCGCATAAGCACTACACAATCTAATTTTTATATAAAATTCAATTCTCTTAAATGCTCGTTACGCTCGGAATTGTCGGTTCGGAATAATAACTATAAGTATCATTCTAATAGGCTTGTAATACCAAAATGGATTTTTCTATCGAGTTCTAGCGTCTCTGTCTTTGTACAACAAAATAAATATAATAAATTTTATAATAACATTTTCATATTAATAATTAATAAATCTATCTTTTTCCTCGCAAACTCTAGGCAAGATTTATCAAACTTATATGCAATTCTTTTATACTTTATAAACATACGGTATTATTACGGCAAATTAATTTCATAACCTTCGAGGTTAAAAAATTAAACAAAAGTCATAAAAAATAAAATTCATCTTAATACAGAGCCAACTAAAAACTTAACAATATTAAAACGACTTGATAAATTCGTTCTCATTCTCCTGTGAAAATGTAAAAATCTGTAAAATTGTGTCGATGCATTTGTGCACCGCAAGGGTGAGCGACGAGGATGTAACGGCGATGTAGAACCTTCGTTCGGAATGAATGTGTGTGCGTGCGTGCGTACGTGCGTGCGTGCACGCGTGCGTGCACATGGCACACTCCTCGGACACTCGTTCCGCAGGATCGAGCCGCAGCTTCGCCGTGCCTACCGGTGCGCGCGTCATTGGCTCGGCAGAAACGATCGAGAAGTGGGTCAACCGCTCGAATGTCTCGCCTGCTGCGTTGCGTCTCTCTCTCTCTCTCTCGGAGCCGCTTTCTCTTCTCTCGCGCACGACGCACGAGACTCTTCCGTTGGAATTCTAATGCTCCTAATGCGCTCCTCGCCTCTCCGCCTCTTCTTTTCTCCTTTCCTTCATCTCGCGTCTGTTCTCCGCCGCGTCTTCTACCTTTCATTTTTAATCGCCCTCCGAGATCCTAGGAGCTACGGAGGATTAAATTTTCATCTTCGATGCCCCTCGAATGTCTATAATATAAAACAATTTTTGAACGATTTTGAGTACTCTTTCAAGTATAACGTTGCAACGTTGAGGCTAATAATGCCGGTGTTACGCTGTTTTTGTTAAAAGTGCGGGAGTATGCTGCACGCGCAGTTGGAGATTTGGAAGGCCGCCGTTGAGGAGTCGCCACGAAATACCCTGGCTGCTTCCTGGAGTCCCGCGGGGGTAGTTCAATCTCCGAGCAGCGCTGTGACTCCGACCGTCGGAAATACAACGGTATCCAACCTCAAGGAATCCCCCTGCACCGTAGATTTCTCAGACGGTACGTTGCGTGAATGGTTCAAAAAAGCAGATTTTTCTCGAACCTCAAATTGGACAACTTGGATATAAAAAAAAAAATACCATAAATTAGTTTCATCAGTTTCTCACTTTTCACTTGCCTTTGCCTACTTTTGATTCTCTGCGTGCAGACGAGGACGAGGATTGCGCTTCCGTTCAAGGCAACAATAACGGCAACGGCGGCAGCGGCGGCGGCGGCAAGATGCGCAACGGCGGCAGCCACATCCACCTCTGGCAGTTCCTGAAGGAGCTGCTGCAAAGTCCGGGCGTCCATGGCTCCTGCATACGCTGGCTGGACCGCAGCAAGGGAGTCTTCAAGATCGAGGATTCGGTGCGCGTGGCACGGCTCTGGGGTAAGCGGAAGAATCGCCCCGCGATGAACTATGACAAGCTCAGCCGCAGCATCCGGCAGTACTACAAGAAGGGCATCATGAAGAAGACGGAGCGCAGCCAGAGACTGGTGTATCAGTTCTGCCATCCTTATTGCCTGTAAAGAGGATCTCTCCTTTCGCCCTTCCCCTTCCCTACCATGCGTTTTCTTCCTCGTACGAGCGAGCCCTTTTAATCTCTCTTCCTTTGTGCGCGCAGGCAGCCGCGATCTGGAGCGGGTGAACCTCAAGGAAGAGCCCAACACCGAGATCGAAAGGTAAAAGAAAAAAGAAAAAAAGATAAAGAAAAAAGAAATTATGATCCACCATGCTCGATATTATTCCGCGACGATAACGCCGAGCCATGACTGGGTCTGCTTAGTACGCCCATTTTGGGCGATCATTTTCGCCTTGCATTTACTCCCTTCCCTCTCTTCCTCCTTCCCCGCTTCCTTTTCCATCTCCCTCCCGTGTGTGTTTTTGAATTTTTTTTTTTATAATAATAAGCACGCAATTTTTCATCGGGTCGCTCCTTCGTTTCGACAAAACCCCTCGTCACGAGGCGAAGATGCGAGCGGATGGAGATTCGTCAGAGAAAAAAAAAGGGAAGAAATGACCCTTTCCTCTCTATTCTCACGATCGCTTGTCGGCACCAGTTCGTCGGATCCTCGGATTGTTCGTTTCTGTCGCACGCGATACGTCGGCGGGACACCTCGCAATCAGCGCGCGGAACTCTTCGCCGTTGCTTGGTGCCACTTCCGCCGTTTCTCGGAACGGAAAAGAACGAAAATCAAAAGACGGCATCGAGAAGACAATCTATTTTTTATATCGAAAATTTTATAAGCGCGCGCACGCGCAGACGTTACGACGCCGTCCCTCGCGAGGGAGCGAAATAAAGAAGGCGTTATGTCGCATCAGTCGCATGATATCTGACGGAAGATGAAAATATCTTCGTCGAGATAATCGTTTCCTGCTCACAACAGGATAAGATTGTTAATTTTTGCACATCTTACGACCTCTGACACGCCCGGAAATCGCGGAAATATTTTTACTCGCACTCGGAGGTGTTTATTAAGTTGTCGAGAGTGCCTTAGGAATCGCGACGATGAAAAACACGCCACGTTGAAGCCGCGAATTTCCGAATTTCGGATTACAAATGGCGGTCCCCGCGAGAAATTTTGCTTGCGATCGAGAGGCCCATAGATCGATCAACGACTTTCCGTTCGGGAGAGAACAATCACGACGATCGCGTTGCACTCGAGGCATCCCAGACGCACGGCTGGTGCTGGTGATTTTGGTCCCATATATCTATGATATATTAAATACTGTATGTTCTATGAACGATTTAGGATTTAAGATGGCTAGCTGTGTAAATGTATCGGGGGCTCACGTGAGTCACCCTTAGGTTACTCGAAGAAATTTCTTCTTTTTTTTTTATTACTATTTTATATACTTTCATTTCTTACTCGCGTCGCGATTGCAATTGCGACGTTCGATCCTTTGTACTTGTAATTTGTAAGCGACTTTCATGCGTTTTCTATATGATCCTTCTTTTTATCACATTATTTTTCTGTTGTAAGTTCGGATTAACTTTCAAGTTAAAACAAAAACTTACCGCACCTTTCCATTTCTATTACACCAATTCTCGGGAAATGGGATTTCCTATATTTTTTTTTCATCTTTTTCTTCTCTACATAAATTTTTTTTTTTTTAATATTTTAAGCTTATCTACGACTTTAAGTTTTAATGCGTAATATAAATGATATAGAATTTCGCGAGTTTCAACATAATTAACACATAAGATTTTACTAACGTGTTCACGTTCGCTCACCAATCGGTTGTACATATAGATACATATGATTACACATAATTATTTTATATATTTTATTTATTTAGTCGAGTTTATTTTATAATTGAGGTAATATCTGAGGTAATATGAGGTATAATCTTATCTTATAATGCTGGAAACTCTTTGGCGTGACATTCCGTTGAGGCCAATTTTACGACTGATCGCTTTACGACTGTTTTTCAGTCCGCTTGTGTAAATCAGGGATTCAATATCGGAGATTATTATCGCGGCTGTTTCTCGGTCGTGCGAAAGTGCAATTGATGAACAGTGCAATTACGCCTGTGCAATTGTTAGCATTGGACTTGAATCATTCTCAGCTTTGATCGAACATCATTGTTCGGAATCGTAATAAGTAGGAAAGATAAATTATTATGTAGCAATTGAAAAATCAATTTGCATTTGTTTCTTGAATTCATTCGCAAAACCGTGAGGATCAACTGCCCTTTATTATTTTATTTGTATAATAGCAAACTTGTATTTTATATTTTATAAAATTTTATTTTTATTTTTTACAGAAAATTATTACAAAAATTATTACAAAAATTATTTTATAAAGATTTATATGAATTGATCTTTGCAACGAGTATGATTATTTTTTAACGAGTTAGAACTCAAGTCCATTATTTTGAACGTAGAATTTGAAGCCAAAGAACATGGCGGCATGAATGAGCGAATATCATATAGCTCTGTGGAGGAAACACAACGAATTTGCTCGCGTAATTAGATCGTAAAGTGCACTTGCACAGCTGCTGGATTTCTACGACACGATGCACTATTTTTTTAACGCAGCTTGGCATGAAACGCTCGTCGAATCGGAAGTAGACCGAGGCAGGACCTTGAAACTCTATTGTTTATATCTAAAATGAGAAAAATATTACGTATGTTACACCGGTTAAGTCTATTCGCGACTTTGATATTTTTTTTTATTACCGAGTTTCATAAAACTCGATGAAAGATGTATTAGTTGACATGTTTTATCAAATCGAAACGCAAATCGTTTTATTACTTTACGATTATATAAATACAACAAATTTTTTATTTGAGATTTTATTTATTTTATTTGAGATTTTTTTATCAGTGAGATAACACGGAGGCTTTTTATAATCACTACAAAGGTATCTTTGTATTAGAGGTAGAGAGAAGCGTTTGTAATTTGTTTTGTGCCAGGCTTTACCTTCTTATAAGTTTAACGGTTGTTGATTCTTCAATTTCGCGATAAAACGCAGAGAACGTAAAAATAAGAGAGCAGAGAATTTATTACCGATGGCTGCATAACAGAAAGGAAGAGCCGAGTTCGTTGACACGAACAAAACCGAAGAATGTTAATTTTTTAATCAGCTAGGCGAAAAGATGAAAAATGAAAAATCAGGAGAAAGGCGAATGATATTGAATAGCGCGATATAATATTTTAAAGCAGCCATTGTTGTGCATAAGCGATTATTTATTTATTAAATTATTAATTGCTAAGGTAAACTTGTAAGACTAGATTTAATATAAATATCTTTTTTTATACAGTTTCTTATATGGTGTTTGTTAATAGATAATATTTCTGATTTATAATATAAATATATATTTTTTTAACAAAACTGTTAAAATACTAATATTTTTAGAATTTTTAAACTAAAAAAATTATAATTAAAATTATAATTTAAAAAAAAATTATAATATTTTAGTGAAAATAATAAAAATTTAAGTCTCAATTACTTTTAA